CAGTGATCCATGCGATGGTCACCTTGAGATTGGACTACTGTAATGCCCTCTACATGGGGCTGCCCTTGTCGCAAATCCGAAAGCTGCAGCTGTTGCAAAACGCCGCGGCCAGGTTGTTGATGGGAATCCCGATTCAGGAGCACATCCAACCTGTGCTAAAAACATTGCACTGGCTACCTATAGGATACTGGGTTCGCTTCAAGGTGCTGGTTGTTACCTTTAAAGCCCTTTATGGCCAGGAACCTGCATACTTGAGAGACTGCCTTTCCCCATATGTACCCCAGAGGACGCTGTGATTTGGGACCCAGAATCGGCTGGCTCTCCTGAGTTTCAAGGAGGCCAGATTGGTGGTAACTAGGGCCAGGGCTTATTCGGTGGCGACTCCACTCTGGTGGAATGAGTTCCCAGAAGAGACAAAAAAAAAAGATACACAAACATCTGACAGACACAGCATTTAGCACAGTACAGACAAATGCAATTGCAAACACACATGGTTACACACCACCACTAATCCCTCTTCTGCCAACAATTGATATCTATGCTGGTGGGACCCTGACCCGCTGGTCCCTTAAATACTGCCCGAGCCAATCATCCGAGACAGCCAAAGAAGGCCGAAGAGCTGACCGTAAAAGGAGGAATGTTGCTAGCATTTTATTATGTCTGAGTTTTAACACTGTATTTATATTAATTTATGTGATTTTATGTGATTGTATTATTGAAATTTTATTCTGTTTGTAAGCCGCCCTGAGCTGACCTTGGCCGGGAGGGTGGGATAAAAATCAAATAAATAAATAAATAAAACTGTACATGTAAACAACAGACTGCAGTGGTCCAGGATCCTATCTCCATCACAGTGTACAGCAATCCTATCAGATAGCACTGTGTAGATATAATGGTGGTGGCTATGGTAGAGAAAAAAGTGTTTACTTCCATCCATATATATGCACACACACACATGTGGCCCCTATCTATGGATATCTAAATCTACAAATCAGTGCCAAACTGACATTAAACAGATTTTGCTGCACACCTGGGGGGGAGGGTTAAATCTCCTCCCCCCCCAATAAAGAAAGTGCTGTCTGTGTACTCGCAGACAATGCATTCGCCATGATTCTGCGGCAGCCATTGGGAGCCCCTCCAGGATGCCAGGAACTGCTCCAGGCCTGGAGTGGTGGATGCCAGGAGCTACTCCGGGCTTGGAGCAGCTCCCAGACACTCTTGCCACTGTGCCTAGGCTCAGTGGTGGGTGGTGAGGCCTGGAGCCATGCCAAACTCAGTAATAGGGAGAAATGGGATACCCCCCCCCGCATGTGAGTCTCGTAGGATCCCACTTGTCATAGTCCTATTCATGTTTTATATTTTATTGGAATCAGTTTTAGGGTTTGGTGGAGGGTTTTACTACCTAGAAGATCAGGGGTCCATCTAACAGGTGTATCCCTGTGGAGGGGTTTGGTTTTCATAATCTACACTTGTACAATCAGTGTGCTACCTAAAGTGCAGGTTCCTATCACATTATACATAGATTTGGAATGATGCGACACAGTATACTAATAAATTAGTTGTTTTTTTAAAAGGATATGGAATAGTGCAGGATATCACTACATGTATGGAGAAAATATATTATATTATATTATATTATATTATATTATATTTATTCAATTTTTTTATCCTGCTCTCCCTGCCATAGGCAGGCTCAGGGCGGCTTACAATAAGGGTTAAAAACACATTAAAACACAAACATAACAAGCATAGCTCACAATAAAATAGAATCAAATACAAATAAAAATAAAGTTCTGGTGACAATAACACCAAGGTCCTGCAGGGCCCTGATGTCCTCCGGGAGCTCATTCCACCAGTGTGGAGCCACCACTGAGAAGGCCCTTGCCCTGGTAGAGGCCAGTCTGGCATCTTTCGGTCCTGCAATTGGGGAAAGACAGTAAATGTAGTAAATGTCCACTTTGAGAACACATCAAGCACAAGCTATAACATTTTCAGAATTAAAATCACTTCAGTAATGCTGCTTTCCCCCTTTTTCCCAGTGCCACTTAGTTATTTCTTAAAGATGCAGTGGCATATAAACAATCAACTACAGAACATAACAGCAAGTATTAATACCTTGAAATAAAAAGCAGTCTTTCAGATATATATTTCAGTTTTCACAGGATGGCTCAACAGAGTCTAAGGAAGATTAACCTCTGTGTTCTGCAACAGAATGACTCTAGTTATTTATGTCTCTGAATATTTTTAATCCTTTGTAAGGGATTAAATAGGGCACAATGCTGCTTCTATATGGGCAAATCATCTCTACTTGGTTGACCTTCATAAGCAATAAGACCTTTCACCCATTCTCAGAGATAATAATGCATAACATTGTGTTTTGGGGTCTCAGTAGCTTGAGTGTTAATAAAGAAAATCCAGTACTGTTTGGGACCATTTCAGCCGTCTCTCCCAGGAATACGTTGACAAGGTCCTGGCAGCTATGAAGCCCACCATCTGCCTCTTCGATCCATGCCCATCTTGGCTGGTTAAGGCCTGTGGAGAGAGGGCATGGAGAGGAACTGCAGGAAGCACCCAAGAGGGCAGGAGGAGGTGTGAGGTGTGTGACAACAAGAGAGAGAATAGTTCAAAGCCAGGGAGGTATCAACCCAAGGAGGAAGCAAAAGGAAGACCTGTCCAGAGTACTGAAATACAGGGATAGTAAACGTGTGACCTGGATTGCCCAGGCTAGCTTGATCTCAGCAGATCTCAGAACCTTAGTAGGGCCGGTCCTGGTTAGTATTTGGATGGGAGACCACCAAGGACATCCAGGGTTGTGACACAGAGGCAGACAATGGCCAACCACCTCTGAATGTCCCTTGCCTTAAAAACCCTATGAGCAGTCACAATAAATCAGCAGTGACTTGACAACCCACCACAACACACCATTTCAGAGCCATGACAACCTGGAGTTGAATTCTTGGTAGTCAGTCTTGACAGGTTCAGGAGGTGGAATTCTCCACCACCATCCTTTGGTCTATGCGGGACTGGCATAATCCCCCCTGTCCCATGCTGAATGGCAGTGCAGGAGAGCAATTTTTCTGAGGATTTGACTTCTGAGGGAACCCTCTTTCAACCACCTAGGGGCAAATCCTGGGCCCTGCTTCTTGCTCTCCACTCACCCTGGATCAGGAAAGGGATGTGGACAAAGAGGGCATTCTGGTTTCTGCTCTGGGGCTCAGCAGACTTTTCTCCTCTTCCTTGAGGGAGTTTCTCTTATTTCTTTCTCACATCACATGTTATCCTCATGACTCAAATGGCAGGTGGGGCTCTGACAGGCAACTCTCTAGCACTTTGTGATGTCATGTCCTATGATGGCACTTTCAGGTAAATGGTCAGTTGATGGCACTTCTTAAGCTCCACCCCTTCTGATGATGTCACATCCTGCACCCAAACCTTACCCCCTTCTGTGATGTCACTTTCAGGCCACTCCCCCAAACCCACCTCTTCCTCCAAAGTCACCTTGTGGCTCTTGAGCATCTGACATTTAGTCTGTGGCTCTTACATGAAGCAAGTTTGGCCACCCCTGATCTATACTGTTCTCTGCTTAATTGTCTCTATGATAATCTGGCTCTAATTTTACAAATGGTGGCTTCTGTAATCTGTGATCTATCAGCTGAATAACTAGGGGTCATTTTAAAAAAGTCTTTTCAAGCAATATTCAGATGCAAACATAAATATATCTAATTCTCAATGTGGACAAATATGTGGTTACTTAAATCCAGAGACTGGAGCAGTGAACAAACCTGAAAAGGCCTGAGGTTTGCAGAAAAATCAGAAAAAAGTAGACCGGGGTTAAATGCCCCCAAATAGAAGCAGCACTGTAGCTTAAAGCCATTCTTGGGCAACTCCAAAAGTATTATCAGCCTTTGAACTCTAGTTTATGTCAGCAAAAGGCAGGGAGAGGGAGCAGAGCCTTTTCCAGGCCTACTTTGAGGGAGGACTCCTTTGGGTCAGGCCTGTCAGCAAGTTTTCCTTGGTTGATGCTGCCAGGGGAGGGAAGGAGGGAAAGCTGAAAATGTGTGTGTGTGTGTGGGGGGGAAATAAGGGTAGGTTGGCTGGTGGCTAGGATGGAGAGAAGGAAGCAGGAAAAGGGAGAGGCTATGGGAGTGTTAGGGAAGTGAAAGAGGAAATTATGAGGAAGGGGGAAATGAGATACCCCCTGCAAGTCCTTTTGTGTCCCATGCTTGTTAAGTAGTATATTTCTTTGTACAAATGTTTTTATATGACCTTTCTGTCCTGACATGTTGTTAGTGAGTTAGAACTGCAATACAAATAAACTATGCTTACTTTCTTAATGTGGTTGTGTATTCAGGCACATGGTTGTGTGTAGAAAAATCTATAATAAAGTAGCTGCTTATATGCGGTTGTTTCAGTGATCATCACTGCAGCAACATAAAGCTTATGCAATCTTCTTGCCTTTTGAGAATGGATCCAAAACAGAGAGTTTGGTTCCAGACACATAACAATGCATAAAGTGAGAATGAATGAAGTGAGCCCTGTAGACCGTGAGAATGTTGAAGATGTTCCTCATTTTCTCTTCCCTTAAAAAAAAAAAGTCAGTGGTTACTGTGGGTCACAAAAAATCAAGGCATCAGCCAACTCTTGAGCAAAGTCTTTCTGATTTGATGTCATACAGGGAAAGAAGGACCTAGCCGTTATCCTTGTTCAGCAAATTTCCCCTAGGAGCTGATAAGCAGGGAAAGTGGCTGACTGAGAAGGAGAAAAGTCTGTTGGCCACTATTGGTTATTCCTTTTTCAGCTTGACATCAGTTACACAAAGAGAGATTAATGAAAGAGATAAAAGTAAGATGTGAATGCTAAAATGTGATTGTCAGAAGACCTTGTGAATCCATTACAATATGCAAAATATGGTAGATATAAGGATGGTGTGGACTTTTTACTGCAATAGTTTTATGTTCACAGATTAATTGGGTGTGTGTGTGTGTGTGTCCCCCTTTCAGGTTTCAAGACCCTTTTGAAAGGAATTTCAGGGAAGTTCAGCAGCGGAGAACTTGTGGCAATTATGGGTCCTTCTGGAGCTGGGAAGTCAACACTCATGAACATCCTGGCAGGATACAGGTTAGTACACCATTGTGATCATAAGTGCTAATTCATACATTCTGGTTTTTAGGTGTACGCCTGAGTTTGTATTTTTAGTGGATTTTGGTGGACACAAATATTGTTTGAAAATGTGTATCATAGACACACATCGGGGAGCCAGGATTGGCTGCACCTCCCTTGCAAGTTTGCGCTCAATTGACAGCCTGGATTTGCAACCTTGTAATCCATGAAAAGGCCCTAAGTAGGGGGTCCAGCTCTCCTACTAGACCTACACCTCCCTGCCTCCAGTCCCCTGCCGCTGCATTCGTGCAGCCATGGCAGAAATGTTTTGGGGGGGACTAAGTAATGTCATGTTGATGCTGTGACATCAATTCAAGCCATGTAGCCAGAACTCATTTCATGCACTCTAGCAACCTCCCAAAACTCAGTGGTAAAACCAGAGGATTAGGAGGGATTGCTACAGCATCACAGCAACACTATAACATGGTGTTATATGACTGAAAATGACATCATGGCATTGCGTGGCACAGTAACATGATGGGCCTGTCCCAGAAATCTCCCAGGGGTTGCCAGCTTTCTAGCCTTAAGTCTGACTGGTGTTCTTAATATAATAATTTCACTCTACATTTATATTTGTTTATGTGTCTAAATGCTTATTTATCAGCACTATAATTTTACAAAGTTGCTCTTAAATTGTATAATCTTTATTGACAATTTGTACCAATAAAGGCTAACTTGAACTTGAATTTTAGGAAGCTGCTTCTACAAATAACTGATTCACCATTACAAAGTCCTCCTGTCTCCCACACAGCTTCCATAAGGGCCTTCTAATGCGATGTGTGCTGGGTGCTGCAGTCCCAGTCTGAATGGGGCCTGCACATGCTTAAGAATTAGGTTTTGAGTTCAAAACTCCCAGTGCCCATGCAATCCTTGTGGCAATGGAGGCCATGAGGAGGACACAAGGATTTTGTAACATGTGAATTGGCCCCTTAGGTATGTAAGTTTTCATTGGATTTACTGGTTACATTTCTGCAGTAAATACACTAAAGTTTTGATTATGCAAATATTTTTATTCAAGCTGCTGTATGCATACATGAGTTGTAGAGGTGTAAAATTAGATTTTGGTCTTTTGACATCTGATTTGGCCCTTGAATTTTTTGAGCACTGAACTTGTCTACTGTCCCAAGATTATTATTTTTTAAAAAAGTTTTGGATTATTGAAGAGTTAGAGCCATTGGTAATCATTTCACAGTCTCCTTACTTACCTAGGCACAAATGGGATTATGTCACATTTGTAAAAAATTGATACATAAACCAGATGTTAATTTTTGTATAGATATAGAGGAAGAATTCAGTCATTCCTTTTCTTAACTAATTTCAGAGAAACTGGGATGAAGGGAGAGATCCTCATCAACGGACAGCCTCGTGATCTGCGTTCATTCCGCAAAGTGTCCTGTTACATCATGCAAGATGACATGCTACTCCCACATCTTACCGTTCAAGAAGCCATGATGGTAAATAGAAAAAGCACTCTGCAACCTGATTTTGTTACAGTTTTGTAAAGAGGTGGGGCATAAATCCTTTAAATAAATAAGACAGACTCTTATTGTTCCTAGTGACTTTTTAGGATTGTCTCACAATTTATGTGACAATCATGTTTGCTGTGGTTACACTGGTATATGGGTGGCAAACATGATTGCACCAGTATCCTTTTGGGTGAATGCTAGAGCATCGCCCAACACGATGGTGTCACTTTTGGCTCATGCTGGAAGTAGTGTCATGGTGTAGGCATGACACTGATCCCCCCCCCATTTCCCCTGGCATGTTTCTCCCTGCTGCCCAACTGAGTGCCAGTGGGCAAAGCCAGTGGCTGTTGTGGGAGGTCTCCCACTGAACCAGGAGACCTGGTCTCTCTGTGCCATGGGTCAACATGGCTACCTACCTCTTTAATATAAATTCATGACAGCCAATGGACAAAGTATGCTTTTAAAGGCGAAATGCCCATGTTCAAGGAGCAGTTTCAACACAGGGGGCACTTACAACTAAGTCACAATTCCATACATGGAGGAAGAACTGTAATGTGTAAATCAAAAACCATGAACCTGTCAGTCTCATGTACCAAAGTTGTGTTGATTTATGGAGAAGTCTGTGATATTGGGCTAAGGTAGATTGATCTTCAGGTCCTTCCCAGTTTTATGAGTATGTGGTTGATATTGTCCTAACACAGCCTTACCAGTTTTCTACCAAGGGCAGGGAATCCCTTGCTTCTGGCTCCCGATTTGCCTTGTCACTCCTGCAACTGGCAGGATAAAAATAATGTTTTTAAAAAAATCACTATTGGGTGGTAGTGTATTGTCACTCCTGGAGAAAACCTGGAAGGTATGTCAGTACACGCTAGAAACAGCTGAAAGCCATAGAGTTTCTGGTGGATCTTAGAGTGGTTTGATGTCACTCAACGTCCCCCTTGTCCCCCCCTGGTTTCTTGCTTTTTGCCATCCATTAGCTGGCAACCCTGTCCTAACTATATCTAACCCCCTCTGCTTCCCACCAACATGTAGAATCTCTAAAACATCAGTTCCCATGTCTCTTCTTTTATCTTCCCGTAAATAAGTTTGTGGGTTTTTTTTAATAAACAGCTGCAGGAGTTAACGGCAAGGCCCATCCTCTGTTGGTGTAGTGTCAACGAGACCTATCTGTATAGACAAATCTAAAAATATCTGTTGATGATGCTATTGTGAAATCAGCCTGGCAGTTCTTGTCAGACCTCCACAGCCTTCATTTATGGGGTCAACTGTTCTGGAATTTCAAGCCACAGGCGTCTTCATTATTATTATTATACATAAATATTATACATAAATATAATTATCATGAGTGTAATTATCATGTAATTTTCCTAGTTTATTTATTTGAATAACACACATACTTAGGGTCAAATGGTTCAGTTCATCTTAATTATGGCTACCAAAAGAAAGCTATAATTTTCTGGGACAAGATGTCTGTTTTAACAAATACCTCAGCTTACTGTCAGAAACAATGACTTCTCATTTGTTACCATAATAATAGAACAAAACCTTGGATAGAGTGGTGAGAAAGAGGTGGCTGCTTCTAGTAAACATCTTATTTGTGCTAATATTTCAGGTATCTGCTCACCTGAAACTTCAAGAAAAAGATGAAGGCAGGAGGGAGATGGTACGTATACTGCTTTACTTACTGAGTTTGACACTACTGAATTTTTTAAAATATAGTAGTAAAGAATAAGTTAAAAGTGCATTTTTATTTATATCCTGCTTTTCTTCCATGAAACTGAAGGCAGCATATGTACAGCTGCCAGGCAGAGTCGCATTCAGAACACTCACAAGACCCAGCCCAGCTTAGCTTCAGCTAGGTGGCTACATCAGGTACCTTCCAACCATGCCCTGATAAACAAATTGGCAGCTTGTATTTTGTTGGGGGTGTAAATACAGCCCTTTGCTGCTGTATTTTCAGAAATACCGAGTATGAAAAATAGAATATGAACGTGTTCACTGTTAACTGAGATTCGTGTTTTATACTGGGGAGGGGAAAGCAGCATGGAGTTACTTGGCAAGTAGGTCCCAAAAAGGAATTTTAGAAGCATGGCTGGAAGAGTACAATTAATTTATAAGTAAAAGTGTGAGCACAGAGCCAGTGGAAGTGGAGATAATTTATGCCATTTGGAGTTATTTATAAAGTAAAACATTTAGCTAGAAACTTGATGTAACTGGAATTTGAGTGTTCTTTCTGTTTAAGAATGAATCTTAACCAAGTACATGCTGAACAAAAGCAGCACTGAAAAACAAAGTCCAATTTTATCAAAAGGTCCTGTCCCCCCCCCCCCCGGAGCCCAATCAACTAGTGTTCTTTTCCTGCTCCACTTTCTACACAGGAAGTACTCTTCCCCTCTGTAGTGGGCAAAGGCATTTGGGAAATGGTAGAGTGAGGCTTTACATCGGTAAAGGTAAAGGTTCCCTTGCTCGAAAGCCAGTCAAATCCGACTCTAGTGTTGCGGTGCTCATCTCCGTTTTAAAGCCGAAGAGCCAGCACTGTCCGAAGACATTTCTGTGGTCATGTGGCCAGCATGACTAAATACCAAGGTGCACAGAACGCTGTTACCTTCCCACTGAAGTGGTACCTATTTATCTACTTGCAATTTCTTGCTTTCGAATGGCTAGGTTGGCAGGAGTTGGAACTAGAGACGGGAGCTCACTCCGTCATGTGGCACTCAGGTCTTGAACTGCTGAACTACTGACCTTCCACAGCCTGCAGTTCAGCGTCTTAACCACTTGAGCCACCGCAGCTCCTAACATTTACATTGGTACTTTCTAATGAATAAATAAAGCAATACAGTCTCCTATCATAATCCTCTTTAAAGATTACTCCTTAATTCTGCTCCCTCCTCACTTCACTGAGAACAGCAAATGTACTTTAGAAATCTTTTGTGATTGTGGGCCAAGAAAAATTATGGGGTTGAGATGTTTCACAGGAAACAAAAGATCCTGCAAAGATTGTATTCCCTGAATACTAGAAGGTCCATTGGGTTTCAGAGTCTTTAACATCCCAGGAACAGACTGAACCAAGTGGCTCCTGTGATACTGGCAGTGATGCAGGTTCTGCTCACCTCAGATTCTGGCCATGGTGACTGTCAGCCACTTGGCTCAGCTTTCTTCTGGTCACCTGTGAGGTGGAGGGGGTTGGAGTCCCATCCCCTCTGCCGTGCTTAACCCCTCTAGTTCCAGTGTGATATCCACAGTTGCTTCAATTTGAGTGAGGAGGGGATTAGAGGAGACCATTAACCCCTACTGCCAACATGGTTTTGAAACCTTTTATTAGCTCAAAGGGAAGCAGCCTTTTTTAAAAAAAAAATGAAATACTGATAATCTCATTAAGTTGAGTATGGGTAGTAGTTGTGGAAATTGTATGGAATATTCTGTTTGTGTTGTTCATCTGTCCAGGTAAGGGAGATCTTGACAGCTCTGGGTTTGCTGCCGTGTGCCAATACTAGAACTGGAAGTCTTTCAGGGGGCCAGAGGAAGCGTCTTGCCATTGCTTTGGAGCTGGTGAACAACCCACCAGTTATGTTTTTTGATGAACCTACTAGGTAACTATGATATAAAATAAGCATGGGTTATTGTTTTGGTATGCATTAGATAATGTATTGTTCCTGGTTGGTACCTAAAATACCAGAAAATTGAGCCTTCCTTTTACAGCCATTGTGTTTTATGTGAGAAGTAAACCTTTCTAAGAACATGGGTCATTTTTCAGTGAGAAAACAGATTTTTTTCATGATCCTAATTCTAACTCAGAATTTGCATGTACATGTGTGTGTGTGGATTTGGCACTGGAGTGGAGTGTTAATTCATATCTTGTCCTTCCCATTGAGCTCAGCACAGGTAGTTATGAAGTCTGTAGTCCCCAATACCTTTGTTGCTGATTTACTATGGCAATGAGAGCCAATGGCAACCCACAAACCATATTTTACATATATTGTTAGGTTTCTTAAGAGCTATCGATCAGTACACTCCGACGTTTATTGCAGTCAGAAGGGGTTGTGTAAATGTTCAGTCATCCTTTACAAAAGGCTTCTAGCCCAGAGAGCATAATTTGACCTCAGTTTGTTGGAAAGCTCAAGTCCACAGCCGTATATTTTCTAAAATGCATAAGGCAGTTTAGAAACAAGCTCCTTTAAAAAGTAATGAGTCCTGTTATTAGCAAATGTGTAAGGTGGAAAACAGCTGAAGAAAAGAAAGAAAAACATATATGAGAGAACAGAAATTGTTCTGGCATAATAGAGCATGACAAGAGCAACCTTGTTAATGGCAAGGCAAAATAGGGGGGGAATAGTGACTGCCAGTGGTAGTGTTAAGCACAGTCCAGTGGACATGCTTGCTGCTCAGACCCCAGTGAAATAGCATGTAATTCGTTCTTGTCAAGGGAACGTAGGAAGAAGTCATTCCAAGTGCCTATTAGTGTGTGGAAGCATTAGCTTGATGCAAAATTCTTTCTTCTCAGTGGCCTGGACAGCGCATCCTGCTTTCAAGTGGTATCTTTACTGAAGGCTTTAGCCCAGGGCGGCCGCTCTGTCATCTGCACTATACATCAGCCCAGTGCCAAACTTTTTGAGCTCTTTGATCAGGTACCATTATGAATTTGTTTTCCCCCCCTTTCTCATACCATTATGTGTAAGTATTTCTGTCAAAGACTGCTTGCCCTTCCTAGGTTACAAACTTTTATTGGAAGCCTCCTCATATTCTGCACACAGAATTGTGAATAAGTCTTAGTTAATAGTCAAAATATATTTTAGTCCTTTTCCCCCTTCCTGAATAAACTTCCTGTTTTAAAATGCTGGGTGTGCTTTAAGCTTCTCAGAAGGCCTTTCCACATTACATGTTGGCAGACATCCTTATAAGACACCAGGATCAAATCTTGGGAAACTGCAAAAGAATGGAAGTTATTTTCTGAAAGATTTATAAGCATAGGGCTGCGGCCCTTGGCACACTTACCTGGGAGTAAGTTCCATTACATTCTGTGGGATTCATTTCAGAGAATGGAGGTATAGGATTCAACATATATTATACTATTTTCATAAAGATGGCAAACTGATTACTCTGAATCTCCAAAGACAGAGGTGCTCCAGAGTTCGGGAGTCATTACTGCAATGTTGCTATCAGCTGTCTTGGAGCCCTTCACATCTGCCATTCAAAACCAGTTTCTTCACATGATTTTGCTGTTATATGCACTGCTTGTTCAAAACGGTCTGAATGTCAGAAGTCTCCTTCTGCATGGAAACCTTACCTGTGATGAAAAATTGTCAGTTCAGACATTTAGAATTTTTTCCCTGTGCAATGCATTTTAATCAGGGATGAATTTGCATGGAGAAACTACTGTTTGAATAGATAAGTACCAAATGTGATTTCTAGGATTATAGCAGTAATTTTATTCATTTGCCACAGTTATGGAAATTGCTTAATTAGGGTTGCCACTTAGGTGGAGTCTGGAGATCTCCTGGAATTACAGCTGACCTCCAGACTGCACAGATCAGTCCCCCTGGAGAAAATGGCTGCTTTGGAGGGTGGACATTGTACTATAACCTGCTGAGATCCTTCCCCAAACCCTGCTGTCTGCAGGCTCAATCCCAAAACCTCCAGGAATTCTCAAAGCCAGAGTTGGCAACCCTAATCCCCCCAGGCGCCAGTTCTAATCCTGCAGGCAAAGGGTTCCATTTTAAGTTTTTGTATGGCCTAATTAAAATTTTCTTCAGATGCACGCAGCTAAACCTGGTGGACACTTTTTAAAAATAAAAATCACCCCTTGGAGGGAGGGAGAAATTGAGAGCAGAGGAGTCTTAGGTGTGCTTAACCTACTTCCTCTTGACACTTCTGAATGCCAAATCAGTCCTGGTTCATGCTGTGGTAAATATATATTTGGAAACTGACAGAGAAGAAAAGCAGCTTGGGGAAGTGGTATGGAAAGAATAAAGATACCACTTCTCTTCTCTCAAATGCTTCCTCCTGCTGCTGCTTTCTTTTGAAATGCAAAACAGTAGCCATTTTGCTGAACTTTGTGTGTCTGCATATAACACAGCCTTGTGCAAGTGTACTCTCCGAACCCGATGTTGTACATTGCGTACTGAAAATTGTAGAGTAGCCCTCGTGTAAGTTTCTGTGCAGAAGGATCTACTGATAGGTATTAGAGGATGGTGGTTGATTACAAACATGTAACCCTCAACATGTAAGTGTAGCTTCACAGGACGTGAGAGAACTGGTTCATGTGAGCACTGTACATTTGAAAAGGTTCTTCAAAAGCTGCAGGTGGTATAGGCAAGTCACATGCAATGCTACAAGCCTTTTGGTTCCTAGAAATGTGTCTTCAATAGAAATGTACCTAGAATAAAGAAGAGATGTCAGGATATAAAATTGTGGAAGGATCAAAAAGTTTAAAAAATCCCAATACAAATACATTCAAGAAATTTGTGACAAAAGACAGTGTTAATGGTAAATCACTGTGAATACTGGCATATCTGTATACACTGGAATAACTAATAACAATATGCCAGTGTTTAAAATTTATATTTACTTTATTCCAGCTCCTTGGAGAATACTTAATTATAAAATTAGCTACAAATTCAATAACTTTGCTTTGCTTTCTTCCCTGTCAGTTTGTTATAGTCACAGACAAAACATAACCTCAGGAGAAAAGAGCAATACTGATTTCCCACAAGCTGCTGCTCCGCGCTCGTTCCTTCCTTTGCCCCGATTGTACGTGTCAATTTCACACTATGTGCTGCACAGCCGCATTTTGCTCCGCAGCTTCACCCAATTTCCCCCGCATCTACTCAATCCTCAAAAAACAGGATTGACTAGACGCGGGAAAAATCGGGAAAAGCTGCGGAGCAAAATGCGGCCGCGCAGCACATGGTGTGAAATTGACATGTACGATCGGGGCAAAGGGAGGAACGCGCGTGGAGCAGCAGCTTGTGGGAAATCAGCCCAAGAATCTAGTAGCACCTTAAAGACTAACAAAATTTGTGGCTGGGTATGAGCTTTTGTGAGTCATTGCTCACTTCCACAGATACAGCTAGAATGATACAGCATTCTACTGTATCTAAAAAGTGAGCATTGACTCACGAAAGCTCATTTCCTGCCATAGATTTTGTTAGTCTGTAAGGTGCTACAGAGCTCTTGCACTTTTCTGCTGCTACAGACAGACTAACATGGCTGCCCACCTTGATCTTTTCTCAGGGGCTCTGACCTGGATAGCTCAGGCTAGCCTGATCTCTTCAGGTTTTCGAGCCTAAGCAGAATTCACCCTGGTTAGTATTTGGAGACCACCAAAGTTGCTAGACAGAGGCAGGAAATGGCAAACCATCTCTGAACATCTCTTGCCTTGAAAATCCTATGGGGTGCCATAAGTTGGCTGCGATATATATATATGGGGGTTTTGATGTGTTTTCTAAAAATTGACCCCACTTCTGGAACCACAGATGGCTAAAAATGACCAGTGTTTTCTGATCAATGCATGTCCCATGAGTTTAACTGTGTTTCAGTGTTCTCTGATTGCACATCTTAGCAAGTGGGCTTGTTGTTTCACCCCCAGTCCGTGCAATGAATAGCAAAAGTAATCAATACTGTACTGCCTAATTCTGTAACCAGCTTGGAGCAGCCTTTGTCATATTATTATTTTTCTTTCTCTCAGCTCTATGTTTTGAGCCAAGGGCAGTGCATTTACCGTGGGAAAGTGTTAAACCTCGTCCCATACTTGAGAGATTTGGGATTAAGTTGTCCGACCTATCACAATCCAGCAGATTTTGGTAAGCAAAAGGAGTTTCTCCACTTAAAAGAGCTTTACATTTCTTACCGCTTTTTTGGTTAATGTCTGCCATCTAGTGGTAGGTTGCCAAACTCTGTCCAGGTTAGAATTCCTGAGTCGTTAATTTGTATGGGTTATCGTTTTCCCTCTCATAGAACAGTAATGGTGAAAGAAGCTGTATTTGCTGATTTTATTTCTCCTATATAACTTGCACAAAAGCCCCATCTTTCTCCTGCCTGATCTGCTGTGTATTGTTGGCAGATTTCCTAATTCAGAAGCAATGGGCCACTAATCAGTTTAAATCGTTTCAGCAACAGCTTTCCCTCTTCCCCTCTTCACAGATTTGGCTTTCACAGTAGTTACAGGCCAGTGATGGCAAAGTGGGTACAATCAATATGTAGAAGAGGCAAGCAGGACTTTGCCCCTTTACCTCCAGGTTCTGTTCAGAAGACCCAAACAACAGGGAAATTGAGAGATACAAGAATATGTAAGATTTGTCCTTTGCACAAATGCACAGGCTGCCTCTGTCCATCCTGTATTCTGCATTGTTTTCAGGCTACAGATCATGCATATGGCCCTGTGGAAAAAGTATAACTTATGCAGGGGGACTGGGGGTGGAGCCTGGCATAGAAATGCCCCCCCATGTCGACTGTATGGCTCATGTAGGTGCAACAAAATGTTATCTTCTTCCTCCTCTGGTCTTTCCAGACCTTCCATGAGCACAGCGGTATTGCACTGACAGGAGTTCTTGTGGAGATGCATTCCAAAATGATACCCTTTGAGGCAATTCCAAGAGTACTTTAGTGGCTCTAGTGAAACGTATACTATGTAGCTTCATTCTCTAGTGTGGTCACAAATTTCCCATCCACTGATTTACAGTGCTTTAGAAGCTCCATCTAAAATTGTTGTGGGTTTTTTTTTTTTTTGCACCATTGATATGGGAAAGTGCTCGCTACCTCAGAGGCATGTTTTCCCCAGGTGGTAGGAGTATGGGTGTAGGCAAGTAGGTAGGTAGATAGATCAAAACAGTGAGTCCAGAAAAGCCAAAAATTGTGTAATGCTGTCCCATTTCTGAGTCCAAATATATACTAAGTGCACTTGTGTACTGAAATTATCCATTTGGGCTCTTCATAGCAGTGTAACAGAGCTACTGCTTTGCTTTCCATTACATGGTCTTCTGATCCTGCTGTTTGTAAGTTTTTGTTCTCTGTATATATGTGTGCTTCTGGCTAAAAATAATGCTTTATGCATCAGGTATTTGTCTCTTTCATGAACAGTTCACATGAAGGTGGAGTGAATAGTTCCCTTCTGTTTGCTTTGTTTAGTGATGGAGGTTGCCTCTGGTGAGTATGGAGACCAGAACAACCGGCTAGTAAGAGCAGTTCAAGATAGAATGTGTGATGCAGATTACAAGAGAGACTCTGGAGGAGAAAGTGAACTTAATCCTTTCCTGTGGCACAGACCATCTGAGGAGGTAATTCAGATGAAAATGATTAGTGAAACGGGAAGGAAATTGGTAAAAAATAAACTGGGCTGGAGTCCCCCAAGTAGCTTCTCCTGGGATAATGCCACTGAAGTCAATTAGCAGTTCAAGAATAAATTCTGTATCACTGTCGGTGACAGGGGCACAGGCTACCAAGACTCTGCTGGGGTGGGGGATCGTTTCAGATGCTCTCCCCCCATAGCCTAATAGATCCATTGGTTTTCAGAAGGCATTAGAGCATTTTTCTGCTGTTATGGTCAGCTCTTCTTGCTGATACCCTGGTTGACCCAATGGGATGAAGAAATGACTTGGGAAACTGACACAATCATTCCTAGGCACATCTCTCAGGTCTTAGACCCCAGGAAGCGTTGTGGTTTGCTGAGGGGCTATGGCAACGAAAAGACAAGGGAGACAGCTGGAGTGACATTAGAGAAAGACTTGAGACAAATCTAGCATGGGTAATCCGTATTTCTCTGCCACCATTACATCCTCACAGTATAAGACCTGAGGAGCTGTTCCAAGTCATCAAGGGCCTATTGGGTTCTGGCCTACTGGAGAAGGTGGACTGCTCTATAGCCTGGTGTGATCATTTTATTAAATACTTTGTAGATAAAATCTGTTGCATCCGTTCTGACTTAGGGTGATTCTGCATTGGCTTTTCCCTCTGTCATTTTACGAAACCCACATTGGAACAGAAACTCCCCTCTGCATTGCATGCTGCTTTCGCTTCCTTTGATCATGGGATTTTATGGTACCTTCTGCATAGATTTATGGCTGTTCAGGGGTGACTTTGCAGTCAGTACAGCATTGCCACAACGATATTTTGAGCTGCAATTTTTCCTCTGAGTTGAGAAAATGTGGAGTGAATGCTAGATGCAAAATCGCCCTTTGACTGTATAATGGCAGTAACGGGATCAAATGGTCTCAGAGTGCCAGTTTGTCCAGTTGTGTTGGGTACTTCTTAGCTTGTCAAGTTTGAGGGTGTGAACAAGATTCTTGGTAGTTTGAGCCTAACCACCTGCTTCTATGATCCTTGCCTTTCCTGGCAGCTTAAACTTGCTAGTAAAACATAGTTTTCCATGACATCTGAACCAGGCTAATGATGGTTAGCACACAACATAGTTTGCCTGTAGATCAGTACTGGAAACAGCAGCTTTTTGATGGGTCTCAATTTCTGTTTGTGTATATGATTTGGATGTAATGACAAATGATGGCTTATAATAAAGCAGGAAGTACAGGCAGAAATTGGATAATTCATGTAACACCAAACCATTGCTATTACACGTGGAATGGTACAGTGTGTTTTACAGGGCTTATTATTCATCTGTCTAATCTAAAGGCTGGTCTAGGTGATACAGACATCTAGCAGAAATTTCTGTTTTTATCTGACAAATTAATTAATTTAAAGAGTTACTACATGCGTTTGGTGTGTTCAGTTGGTAATTTGTCAGCACAGGAACCACCTCAATAATTCTGCAATGTTTTCCTGTGATCTTTTTGGCCAGTGGCATTTAGAACACTTGCATTATGCTTCCATGGAAATTAGACTTGATATCTTCCATCATTGAATTCTGATTCTAAACTGTCTGGAATTATGGAGACTATCTAGGCCTCTCTGTCTATGTTTCCCTTTTCCTTTTATAAGATCCTATAAGATGCTTGCAATGATGTATATATATTTTTAAAAATACTTAAGACCATGCAATGAAGATGGACGTTTGCAACAATCAACGCTCAGAGCAAATACACCAGATAGCACCTCGCAACTAGGAATGTGATACATTTGTCTTGTTTATACTAAGGATGAGACAAAAGAGAAACTGAAGTCAAGAATTACTGACCCTACCAGTCAGTTGGTGGCTCAACTGGGAATGAAGAGCAGTCTCAAAGATCCGCATGCAACATTACGTTCATTACAGTTACTGGAAAAACAGAAGATCTCACATTTAATTTTTTGTTTATTTATTCCCTCAGGATTCGTCATCCACAGAAGGTTGTCACAGTTTCTCAGCCAGCTGCCTTACTCAGTTTTGCATCTTATTTAAAAGAACCTTTCTCACCATAATGAGGGATTCGGTAAGGCTATTTTTAAATACTTAAACAACAATGGTGTATTGTAGTTACCCATTTTAAAACATAGAAGCATAATATCTGTATGCTTTGCATAAAAACAGGCAGCACAAGAATTCTGTTTGTTTTCCTCAGATAATATCAGAGTACCACTGTTAATGGAATGGAGCCTTGGGGGTCATCAGAAGACATGATGCTTAGTTAACAAGACAAGCCCCTGCCCTGAGAATTTAATAATCCAAAATGTTACTTCTAAAGTCTATATTTAGGGCAAATTAGTTAGATCTATGTAACTAAGAGCTGTTTTCTGGGAAAATTTAGGAGAGTGGAAAATGCGGGCTCTTTTCTTTGCTGTGGTCTATTTAATTGGTGGCAGTAAGCAGAGTAAGCCCTTCGGGGTAGCCTAGTATGAAGCCACATTGCTGTGTACAAATGTTCTAAAAGCCAGATTTATAACATGATATGCATTCAATTATGTGATACAGATCATAAACCTGTATCTCCACAAAATAGACTGTACTTACTAGACACCCAGAGAACTCATAACAAGTATACTTTTGCCTGACATTCAGGTTCTGACACATCTACGGATCATGTCACACATTGGGATTGGACTCCTCATAGGACTGCTGTATTTGGGTATTGGAAATGAAGCAAAGAAAGTTCTGAGCAATTCCGGCTTCCTCTTTTTTTCAATGTTGTTTCTTATGTTTGCTGCTCTCATGCCAACAGTGCTTACATGTGAGTAACAACAACACTTGATATAATTTATAAAGAAGGTATTTTCTATGTGACATGAAACAAACAGTCCTAGAACATAATAACTCACAGGGTGCCATACCCTTGACTTTGCCAGGAACTTTATTCTTATGATGATCATCATTATCATCATTCTCTGTTGATTTGGCTTTGAAATTGGGTGAGCACATTTACTGATAAACATTGTAGTGGGGTTTTTTTTCTCTTTAAATGTCCTTTTGAAGAAAATTCACCAATAATGTGGCATTATTCAGCATCTACATGTTGGTCTGAACTAGAAATAATTCACCTTTTCAGCTCTTTGTGATTCTCTGTTTTCAACTTCTGCTGGTAGAACACTGATAGAGCCACTCACAAGACTCTTGAGGTTGTGAAACATTTGGCCATGAACTTTGTAGAAATCAGTTTGCTTATCTAATGACTAGGGAGCAAAGCCCATTGTGGACAAAGACAATGGGCCCTAGAAAGGTAGGGTGGGTGGGTGGTAGATAAATAGGTAGATGGATAGATAGAGGGGTTTGGAAAAAGAGAGGAAGGAAGGAAGAAATAAAGAAGGGTGAGGGGGGGAGACATGGACAGACAGTCAGTAAGCCAGACAGACAGGGAGGGAGGGAGGAGGGGGGGAAGAAGTCAAAGATATGGGGATGAAGGGAGAAAGTGAGAGAGGGACAGAATGAAGGGAGATAGGGAAAAAGGAAGAGAGAGAGAGGAAGGGGGGTAGGGAGGAAAAAGGGGTGTCGGGGGTTGGCTCAGCGCTGCTGCCGCCCCTCGCCTGCTGCCCCCGGAAAGCTGGCGAAGGTGGGGGGGGAGCAGCGAAAATTAAAGCAGGCCTTCCACTGATTCCCTCCAGCCCTGGCTAGTTGGGGGGGTGGAGTCGGGCGGCGGCGAGCGGCTTATCTCCGCCGCCGCCGCTCATCAAGTGATCCCCGGTTGCACTCACCCACCAGGTGATTGTCAGCAGTAGTCTGACATCTGAGGGGACCGGGTGCAGAGGCAGGGCTACAGCCTTTGTGTTCTGAGGTGGGACTTAGGCAACACAGCCAATGGAAGCTGGGTAAGCTTCTGATGGACAGTTCAAGCCTCCAAACACTGTTGGTGCGCATTTTCTCTCTGCTGCGTGACGCTGCGTCTTACTCAATTGTATATAAGGGAGAGATGTATATAAATTAGAGCTTGCTCTTCTTATAGAAGGACTTCAAGATTATAACTGGAAGCAGCAAATACATGTAAATTTATCCCCCAGCAAAGTTTTATAGGTGAGTGGTAGTGAAGCAGTGAATTGATATGGTGAGGCAAGAAATGATGAGATTCTAGGCAGCATCCATGCAGAGAGGGCTGTGGGAGTCTTCAGATTTAGCCCTTGAAGACACAACGACTTCAGTGGAAGGTGCAGGAAGTCCATTAATCCTGAGCTAGTACAGCATCCTTTTAAATCTGGGTTCAAATGGCAGCAATTTAGGCACAGGAAGACAAGGACACTCGACACTTACTCAAGTAACTCAGTGACCATAATGAAGTGGGCCTGGAGAGTCTGCCTTTCTGCTTCCTACGGTTGCGGGTCCTCGCTCCTAGCTGGCATTTCCTGCCACTGTTCTGAAAAAATGGCGGTTGGGTGATGGTGTGACATCACTTCTGTGGAAATGCAGAAGTAATGTCACACACCTCTAGGAATTAGCCAAAACTCTATAAGAAACCACAGAATTTTTGACAATTCCTAGACTGGCATCCTTTCAGGTTTCCCCCAAAGTGATGTCACAGCACTGGCTGACAGCCCCCCCCCCCCCCCCCCCCCCCCCTCCCCTCCCCCCCGCCGCGCCGCAACCCTACTGCTTCCTTTCAGAGAAATCTGCAGGCTCTTTGGGAAAAGCCACTTCATGTAGCCCTGAGCCTCAAATGCCTAGATTAAATGTTTTCTGCTTGATGAATGCAACTGAGGAGCAGTTCCTGGAGCCTGCAGAGTATAAAGGCCGACACACACACTTCACAGCAGACAGATATCTGTAGCAGTATTATAATGAAGAATTACAATCAGTTTGACTATGTATTTCTTTAATTGTTTGACATAGTTCCTCTGGAGATGGGTGTATTTCTTAGAGAACATCTGAATTATTGGTATAGTCTGAAGGCCTACTACTTAGCAAAAACAATGGCTGATGTCCCTTTTCAGGTAAGCAATATTTTGCATTCCACAAAGTATTTTGTATGAACACAAGCCAGATAACAGCCCTTCCTGAATGCGTTCTTTTTATGCATAATAGAAAGCAGTGAAGAACATTTGTAAGTTTTTAATTTATGTGAACCATTTGTAATACAGCCATGAATTACATTAGCTATATCTATAATGGATGTTTTCCAACATCTTCTCCTTTTGTTATGGTCTTGAAACCTCTAAATTCCACTGTTAATTATGCCAAGAAACAGACGACTGAGTAGAGGCATATACAGATGATGGTGGGAAGTGGGAGAAACTGTGCAGATGGATCAGTTGGTTCAGTTCCCATTGGCTCCCACTGAATTTGATGAGATAAAATCTGAGTTGCTGCATCAGTTGGGAGGGGGTGAAGATCAGTCTTTCATTCCAGACCCTTGATAAATCAGGAGCAGGTCTGAGTGAACCCTCTCATTTTCTCCTATATAAATGACTGGCTGCCAGTGGGTGGCAACTGACAGCAACAATGCAGAGCAGAAAAAACATGCCCAACCCTGGTAATACATAGCCTGGTCTTCACTAACAGGGACCCTGATAGGTCAATTGTGCATGCATGTGCAGAGCACAGAGAGACACTTTGCAGCCCTCTAGGAGTCTAGGAGCATACAGGTCTTTCCTCCACACTCAGTTTAATGGTAATAATGACAACCATTTCACAGTTATCACAAACGCTGCTGTTATCTACTGTTCTATTCTGGTCTCTCTTTTTTTACAAATTAGTTAATATCAAAAGATGGTTCATGCTAATCTGGAAGATGCTAGAGGACTCTGACAGCTGTCCTGACTGATACATATAATGCATTGCCTAACAATGGCATTGGGCATAAGTGTAGAATTAGTAGAAGTAGCATAGCTGGAAGTGCCGCCCCATTACTAAAATAAAGTAAAATCTTGTATTTCAGTTTTGACATCAGTAATTATGCATTAATTGAAATATGTTTGTTTTTCCTGCAGGTTATGTTTCCTGTAGCTTATTGTAGCATTGTATACTGGATGACAGCCCAACCATCCGATGCTCTGCGATTTGTCCTTTTTGCAGCACTGGGAACAATGACATCACTAGTGGCTCAGTCTTTGGGTCTTTTGATTGGTGCAGCTTCCACCTCGCTCCAGGTAGTGCACTTTTTAAAAGAATGCATGCCCCTGTTCCTTTTAGCGGTCATAGCATATAAATTCACTTGCTGGGCTTTGACATGCTGGAAGAAGCTGTCAAGATGGAATACGTTTCAAGCAGAAGTCTTTCACATCACCTACGTCCTGGTCGTTTTAATTGTAGATGCTGGGGGTTGAACCTGGGACCCTCTGAATGCCAAGAGGATGCTCTACCACTGAGCCATGGTCATGCAAAAAAGAGTCCTGGAGGGAGAGTGGAGTTTTGATACTGTACTTCCAGTGCTGAACACAGCTTTAGTGGTGGCTTTGGGATGAGCCCACTGAGTTTCTGAAAAAAGGGAGGCACATTCGTGTGTTACAGATTTTTATAATAAAGCAGGTGCAAGGACGCACAAGCTGCACAGTAACCATCAGCTTGTGGTGCAGTCTTAAAAGCAGAAGATACAGTTTGTCATTGCATAATGTTTTCTGAGTAAGGTCTACTGCAGTAACTGAAAATGTTTTAAAACAATGAGTATACAGAAGTGTTTACAGGACTAGTTCTGACAAATTACAGTATGTTTTTCTGCTAGTAGTATATTTGTTTTCTTTAGTTGTTGTAGATTTTCTGGGCTGTATGGCTGTGGTCTTGGCATTGTAGGACTTGACGTTTTACCAGCAGCTGTGACTGGCATCTTCAGAGGTATAACACAGAAAGATGGAGTACTCTCTATATCTATCTTGACCCAGAGAGTACTCCATCTTTCTGTGTTATACCTCTGAGGATGACAGTCACAGCTGCTGGCAAAACCTCAGGTCCTATAATGCCAAGACCATGTCCATACAGCCCAGAAAATCTACAACAACTAATGAACTCCAGCCGTGAAAGCCTTCGAAGGGCTTCAATCATTTGTTGACCAGAAGCCATTACAGGCTGCTCCCAGACCTCTTGCTCTTAAATCAATTCTAATTGACTATTTTCAAACAAACCTGACCTAAAATATGCTGCCTAAAGCTTCTAAGGGCAAAAAGAATCAAAAGAATGCCAGGGGAGCGCCTTTGCTAAAGGAATTTTTTGCATCTGCTGAATTTGCCAGTACCTCTTCAGCTTCTTCAGGCAATGGTGATACATATACTGCTGACTCTCTCCTCACACCAAAGTTTTTATTAGAAACATTGGGGAGACAACATCAAGAGCTAAGGCAAGATATTATGGGTATGATATCACCTCTAGCCCAACGCATGGAGGAATTGGAGTCTCAATATAAGCAAACTGCTCAAAAAGCAGAAGAAGCATTAAAGAAAGTCGCCTCCCTGGGAAAAAAGCTTGGAACCTCATCTCAAGACAGTTGGTCTAGAGAAAATTTCATGATGATGGTGTCTTGTATAAGAGACAAAAACTTGAAATTTCACAGTTTTTCATCAAATGTCGAAGCAACAACTGACCTTTCAATTTTCATGCCTGCCTGGCTGCCTGCCTCTTTAAAATTAGAGGAGGGAGTGACACCATTGATACTGCGAGCTTACCCCGTAGGTAAAACAACAGATTCTTCCCAGGTTGCCCCTTCTGGCAGAGACATAGTGGTGGAGCTAGCAGACTATCGGACTAAAAGGAAAATCTTGATGGAAGTGCCTCAGCAGAGCGGCTTGGATTTTCAAGGAAGCAAAATACTTGTATTTCCGGACCTTCCCCCAGAAATGCTTAAGATTCAAAGAGACTTAAAACCTATTACTTCTAAACTCCAGGCAGCAGGTATAAAATACCGTTGGTTGCGGTCTGGTAAAATGTTTGTGGAATATCAGCAAACTCAATATATTGCATATGACTCTGTTTCTGGATCAGCTTTGTTATCTGCATTAGGTTTGCGTTAATGAGAGCAAACCGAAATTCGAGCTGCAAAAAGAACATAAGAACATAAGAGACACCAATGTTGGATCAGGCCAAAGGCCCATCCAGTCCAACACTCTGTGTCACACAGTGGCCAGAAATACCAGTGCCATCAGGAGGTCCACCAGTGGGGCCAGGACATTAAAAGGAAGACTCATTCACCATTGACTCCAGTCAAAAGCAGCAAGCTTCATGTTTCTGAAGAAACAGAGGATGGTGAAATAGAGCTTGATGTAATGTAATTGTGTAATGTTCTCACAATAGCAAGCTACATATTTATTAGCTCGATGTATATAAAGTTTGGGGGGCTGGTAGGGAGCAGACAGGTATGTGCTCTCATATTGTAGGTCATGGGGTGGGGGAGAAGGTTCTCCCCTAGCTTACATTGTAAGCTTCTATAGACCTAATGGTTTTCTGGGCTCCAATGTATACTATACTAGTCAATCAACTGTATTATCAGATTATAACAGAAGATAGAAGATGCTGGAACTTAGGAAGCCAATAATTATCATGTATGTTTCAATGCATAATTAATTATCATTTTGAAAAAAATGAAAAAAGAAGAACACCACTTACATAAAGAGATATAAATATAATGTAAGGACATATAGGTCAAATTGATATAATTTAGTTTAAACATTAGATGATGTGATATACAATTTATGTACTTTTCTTTTTTTGGTTGTAAGCAATATTAGTTCTTCAATTAAAAATATTTTTTAAAAAGCCTTTGACAACAGGTTTGTTTTCTGTTTGTTTTTCTTAGGTGGCAACATTTGTAGGTCCTGTTACAGCGATCCCAGTTCTCCTCTTCTCAGGATTCTTTGTCAGCTTTGACACCATTCCAGCATACCTCCAGTGGATGTCTTACATCTCGTATGTCAGGTATATTTCAACAATACCTCATACTTCCTCATCTGTACTTGTGCCAAGTTTTTGACATTTTTATAATGCCTCCTTTGGGGACTCTTTTTAAAAGTTAAAGAACTTTTTAGACAAAAAAATATATACACATTTGGCAAGTACCTTAAGGCATCTATTGATGAAGGGAGTTGGCCTAAGCCAGCCACTTACTGGCGGTACACTAAGGGGGCATGGGGAGGGTGCTCTTTCTGCAATTCAGTGCAGAAAATAAAGACAGCGCCAGAAAATGTTGTTTTTTAAAAGTTATTCTGTGAGCTAAAAAGCTGCACGCAGGATGGCACCTTTGGATCTCTCTCTTTAAGCCACACATAAGAAAGTTTGAGAGCAATTTGATGTTACAGAGATCATATTTGTATGAGCCAGTTTGATTCAGTAGATGTCATGTAATGCTTGGGCCTTAAAAACCTGGGTTCAAAGCTCAGTTCAACAGACTCTTTGAGAGCCCCTGAATATGTCACTTACACTCAACCTGTGTTCCATCTGTAAAATGGAGATTCTTGCCATTTGCATGCAGAAGGTCCCAAGTTCAGTCCCTGATAACTGAAGAAGAGAAGAGATTGGATTTATACCCTGCCCTTCACTCAGAGTCTCAGAGCAGCTTACAAACTCCTTTCCCCTCCCCACAACAGACACCCTGTGAGGTAGGTGGGGCTGAGAGAGCTCTGACAGAAACTGCTGTTTTCAAGAACACCTCTGACAGAACTGTGGCTTGAAAGTAAGACACAGGGAGGGGAAAACAAACTTGACCCAAAAGCTGGGATCAATAACCACAGGGGTAAGAAAGAAGTCTGATAAAGGGCCAATATTAAAAACCTAGTTGAAACTTATAATATACAAAAACATGTATTTATTAGAAAGACCGTTAAAAACAAATAAGGGCCCAATGAAAGCCTCATTAAAAAGTTCAAGTGGCCTGAACACAAGGGCCAATACACATTACCTGACGCGTTTCCGCCATATTGGGGGCCTTCTTCAGTTTGAGGTCATCCAGCAGCTGCGAGTGTAGGAGTGGGGAATCAAACCCGGTTCTCCCAGATTAGAGTCCGCGCACTTAACCACTACACCAAACTTGCTCTACCTGCAGTTAAAGGATCTCAGGAAGCAAGGCTGGGACAGACCCACCTCTACCTGACACCTGGAGAAGTAATACCAATCAGAATAGACAGTACTGAGCTATGTAGATCAATGAAATTATTTGATGTAAGGCAGCCTCTGATATTTATATGTAAGCGACCAATGATAATGCAGAGTTTTACAGAAGTTTAACCTGAATTCAGGCTCCTCACCTGTTCCCCCCAACATGTGATTGGTAATCTGAAAACACTTCCAATCGTTTATCTGCAGTGGGGTTTTTTTTGGCGGGGATATTAATCCGCATAGTACCTGTTAGCTTATGGAAGCCTACTTTTGCATATGGATAGCTCTTATCTAATTGGACATCTAATATTTTTTAGAGTCCTGATTGATGTAAATATAATTAACATTCCCTAACATGAAAGCAGCAATGAATTCAAAATGTATGGTATATGTCCTGATCTGTTTTGACTTTGTATAATATCCTTCTCTCTCTAGATATGGGTTTGAGGGTGTTATTCTTTCCATCTATGGGTTGGATCGTGAAGATCTCCACTGCGATGAAGAAATTTGCCACTTTCAAAAATCAAAGGATATCCTTCGAGAGCTGGATGTAGAAAATGCAAAACTTTACCTGGATTTCATTGTGCTTGGCATTTTCTTCATAGCCCTACGCCTTGTTGCCTACTTTGTCCTCAGATATAAAATCCGAGCAGAGAGGTAGAAAGAGAACGTATGTATCAAGCCCATAGGGAGAACACTATTCATGCAGTTGTGGACTGTGTTTATTGCCTGATGGTGGCAGACAAGTTTCCAGACCCCAGTCGCAAATGGTTTTGTGATCTAGCCTGTAGAAAACCATGTAATATTGGATAAGTGGATGCCTAGTTATGGTAATCAGTTCGGTTGGGTTAGGTCATCTTTTTGTTATGCTGCCTGGCTTTATCTAGGAAGAAGAACTAGAGGGGAATTTTGAAGTGCTGTTTTGAATGTGCAGAAGTGTCAGTACTGATCACAGGAACTTTCTTTCATGAAAACTGTTTCTTGGAAGGTAGCTGTAGTCCTGGCAGCCAAGTAGAGAACGGCTGGGAATTGTTCATCTCCGTTCTGTCAGTAACCAAGTGGAAATGTGAAGAATGTAAGATCACCTCTTCCTTTTGCACCCTGACTTCATCACTGCAAGTTTCCTGCATTTTCTGCACGTCCCCCCTTTACCTGAAATCCTCCATGAAAGCAGAAATCCACAAATCCTCAAACTTTAACAAAATAATTTTTAATGAATGGATTTTTTTTAAAAAAAGAATACAAGTAATTTGGTTCTTCTTTACATGCAGAGCTCTGGAGCTTTATTCTTATGAGCTGGTCTCATATTCCCAAAATTGTAATATGAAGATAAAATGACAAATTCCTAGTAAGTGTTGTAAAGAAATTCCAGAGTACGGAAAATTCCTTATAGCAGTCTGCTTTTGCAATATCCTTCAGTTTTCTTGTGATATTTGAAAGATTTCATTATCCAAATTAACTACCTCCCATGAAAGTGGAAGCTAAGAATTCCAGTTCCAAAAATACAGAATCATGTTTCAAATCACATTTGAATGTTTTAGGGAATATTTTTAAGGAATGTCAGTGGTTCAATGTTAAGAATGTTTATGGTAAAGTTTTTAAAAAGTGTCCACAGTGTCTCTGTAGTTACCTCTAGTTTTTTGAGGGGGAGGGGGAAAGGCCATCTTCACATGACAAAATGAAGCAATCCAGTTTTCTACCAGTCCTTAACCCATACTGGCTGCAGTCCAGCAAAAAGTTAGGTGCCCTTAAGCCCAGTGAAATCAAACCATGTAAGCATGCCTGGATTGATCTAAAGAATAATCAATCCATTTTGTCACCCATTTACATTTGGTTTTCCTTCCAATTCAAGTTAATCTTGATGTTGAATAACCAGAAGAGCCAAATTTCGATTTCAGCAAATAGTGGCTCCATATATTTTGGCAGAATTTGGTTCAGTTTGTGGCTTTACATAGCTATCTAAATGAGATAGTTATCCACATAATAAACATTGCTGGAGAAAGGTACAGGCTTGATAAAGATATGAAAGCCACATCGAGCTCAAAGCATTCAGATTGGGTAGATGCTGACGTGCTGTTTTGTGCGGGTGACCCACTAAAAGCTAGAACGGGCTATTTTAGGCACTGTGGTGAGATGTTTGTTAACCCCCCTCCCGATGACTTTTCTAACAGATAAGATTGAAGATGAGTCACACCTTCTAGAGAGGTTCCTGTTATGTTTAAATACATTTAGGATTGTTTTGTGAAATTCTTTATACTGATGGGGATAATTTAGTATGATTTGCTTTTTATATATGAGAAGATACAGATCTGCACCACTAACTAACTCACAGGCATCCAAGAACACTTGTATCCAAAATTAACAGCAGTCTGTCTTGACAATGTATCCTGATGTCACTGTACTCTGGACCCTTTGTACATGATGTTCTCAATGCAGCTAATTACCCAAAGGAGTTGGATTCCACCGTTATCTATTTTTCCTGAGTCAATAAAGACATTTATTTTTCCCATTTGACCCAATAAATTACAAACACCTTCAGCTTTCTAGGGTTTTTTAAAAATGATATTACAACCAGTTGAGCACTGTGTAACTATTCCCAGCTCTGTCAAAAGCATGTTGTATAATGCTAGTAACTTGTTAGCCTTTCCTGTGCTTCCATCTATTGTCTGTAATATGGGAATTGCAAACTACTAGTTGATTACTGGAGCTCATAAAGGGGTGTCAGTGGCATTTAAGAATACTCATTTGCCTCAAGAGGAACCTTGTACAGTAGAAAGGAGTTCAGTTTTGGAAGCTTCAGTTTTTACCATCTCAAACTTTTATTTACCAGATTAAACAGGGAGTTATTGCTACATAGTCTCTCCTCTTTTCCTCTTTTCTTCTTCTCTTCTTCCACTCACCAGCCAACCTACCTAAAACATATTTGATGAGATCTGCTCAGCTATGGCAAGATTCTCAAGACAATTATCACTTAAGCAGCAGAATAGAGCCATTGAAATGAATGGGACTAGTCATCTGTTTGCAGGGAAAATAATAATTTTCTTGAATTGTTAAATTCTGCACCCTTCTTCAGTCATCTGGATGAGACTCGGAGGAAAGATATATTGAGTTTTACTAAATACAAGGCTGTATTTCCCATCCCCAGCCCTCAGTTGCCCAGATTTGAATGAAAAGTAATCCATTCAGATCTTCACTAGTAAACTGTAGAGACCATGACAACATCAGGAACGTAAAAGAAAAATTCCATATAGAAAAAAGCTTTCCACTGAACAAATGCTTTTGCAAACAAATATGGAATTTGTATGTATAAATATTCTTTTTTGGAAGCAACTCCAGGGCATTCACTGTTCGCAGTGCAATCCCATGAAGAGTTATGGCAGTCTAAACCTGTTGATATCAGCTCTGCATAGGGTTGCACTTTCAGGTCAGACAATGCTGTTCTTTTCGTTTCCCTTCCAAAAACAAGGTGGAAAGACTAGTTTCTACTCTAATACTATATGACTCTCCACATTTATTTGCTGGTAGCTCTTGTGTTTAAAGCCACAAGAAGAAGGTGGTTATTTAAAACCACAAATCAGCTGGCGGAAAGAGAGAACAGTCATCGTTTGGTTTTGGCTGGCACAACATATTGCAAAAGGTTTGTCAGAAGTAGATACTAGCAACTTGAGTATTCTGTTCTTAAAAAGTAATGTGAAAGAATATATGTCATGTTCCATGAAGGAACATGTTCTGTGAAGTCATGTGAAGGAACAGATCTCATTCATAGTAGAATGCAGACTGAAGGACGCGTCCAGCCTTGCTCCCTAAGAATGAAATGCCATAGTTTATGTATTTTTGTTCAGTCGCACAGTCGAGTCCGACTCTTCATGACCCCATGGACCAGATCATGCCAGGCCCTCCTGTCTTCCGCCGTCCTCTGAAGTTTGCTCAATTTCACGTTCGTTGCATCTATGACACTAACCATCTCATCCTTTGCTGTCCCCTTCTTCAATCTTTCCCAGCATCAGGGTCTTCTCCAGTGAGTGCTCCCTTCTCATTTGGTGGCCAAAGTACTTGAGCTTCAGTTTCATTATCCGGCCTTCCAGGGAACAGTCAGGGTTGATTTCTTTTGGGATTGACTGATTTGATCTTCTTGCAGTCCAAGGGACTCTCAAGAGTCTTCTCCAGCACCATAGTTCAAAAGAATCTATTCTTCGGTGCTCGGCCTTCCTTATAGTCCAACTCTTGCAGCCATACATGACTACTGGGAATACCATTGCTTTGACCATGCTGACTTTTATTGGCAGGGTGATGTCTCTGGCTCTGTGTCTTGGATTGCATTTATTTTAATTTCCAGTCATGGAGTTTATACAGTATGTTTCTGTCTCAGAGCCAGCATGGTGTAGTGGTTAAGTGCAGCAGACTCTAATCTGGAGAACTGGGGTTGATTCCCCACTCCTTCACATGGATGCCTGCTTGGGTGACCTTGGACCAATCTCTCAGAACTCTCGGAACTCTCTCAGCCCCACCTACCTCACAAGGAGACTGTTGTGGGGAGGGGAAGGGAAGGCGATTGTAAGCCTCTTTGAGACTCTTTAGGGTAGAGAAAAGCAGGGTATAAAACCAACTCATTATTATTTTCTGGCTAAAAATGCCAACTGTCGACATACACTTTGGCACCTGAGCCCATGGCCAATTTTTTTAAATAACAAGGCAAATTTAACAACCTTAAAACAGCAAACATGAGACCATAATCTTGCACTCATTGTACATTTAAGCTTATATTGATCATCATGTTAGCTAGTGCTTCAGAACAGTATCTCGCCCCCCCCCCAATTGCCTGATTGCTGTTTTATGCTGCGGCACATTCTATTGTACTTTTAAATCTATATTTAGCAATAGCAGTTTTCATTCATGGCTTTAATGCCTCCTTGCAGCTGTGATAAAAAGATAGTATATGCTTTACAGAATCCCACTGTTCGGTACTTGAACCATGTGTATGTACATCAGCATGACTGGTGGCTCAGATCTGTGGTTATAGCTCCTATTTAATCCAGAAAAATCTGTATAGCTGAATAGTCAATATGTGAAACTTGCTCTGAAGACTTTGATCTAGAAAAACTCCTGGCTGGACACCTAGTGGTCTGGAATAATATTTGCATTGGTGCTTTCCATTTCAGTGGTGAAACTTGACGTATAGGGAATCAAAAACTTCTAGCTGTGAAGACACTGTATCTGTTGTATGTATGTTTTTCTTTTCAGCATTGTTCACCCAACAATTCTTTTCTTCTTCCATTGCTGGAAATTATTCCTGGGTAGAAAGAGTAGATAATACATTTCGGATAATCTATACTGTTATGAAGACACTTGCCAGTAGGACTGTTGACAAATGTGACCTATCTGTTACCATGTTAGTGGTTGTGACACTAGAGTATGCAGAGCTACTCTAATCTAAGCCCTTCAGAATCTGCACAGGACTGCACTGTTAATCATATAAACACTCTTGGCATGAGTTAATAGCTTCAGTGCTGTATCAACCATTCCGAGTAAAGTACATGACTCTTCACAAGTCAAGCATTTTCAAGTCCTACTGATTTCAAAGGGGAATAATTAAGCACTGAAGTTAATGAAGGAAATTCATGCTATCTTTCACCCTTTTTATGAGTATGCCAATATTTTAAA